TCCTGTTCTCATAAAATTTATTGTTCGTTTTCTTTTTGTTTTCTCCTCCGTATTGTATCATTATTATTAGATTCAAACACTTGAATCTTTAGTTAACTTCAACTACCTACATTGTTATTTGTATTAAACCATAAAACATAGAGAGGGAGAGAGAGGGGGGAGGGATAGATAGAGATAGTACGAAAAGAGACATACAAATAGTTTGTAGTTAGTCTGACGGAAATGGGTGTATATAATATCGTTTTTCTCTCTCATAGTATAGGAGGAAAAAAAACAAAAAAAATTTCGTACCTATCATAAAATGTCTCTCTCTCTCTCTCTCGCCTTATTTACTTGTCTCTCTGTGTCTAACCTCCATATATTTATATCCTTTTTTGCCCTACTGAATATATCTATGTGATTTTTCAATGTTCACCGGATTTTCGTGTTGAAATAAACGAACTTCATTATATGTATGTAGGAGATAGAAAAGATAATGTGAAGTATAAAATATAGAAAACAATGGTCTTTTGATGAATGAATTTTTAACCAACAATAAACAGATACATACATTCATTAAAGATATGTTGTTATTTAACTTCAGATTATATATATATATATATTTTTGGTTTACAAATTTTTCAATAGAATTCCTTTATTTTGATGGAGTTTTGTTCTCTGAGATGGATGGTTTGGTCGTGGAGCTTTCATCATTCTTCTGAACGACATCACCAGCACAAGTGTTCGAATTTCGCCAAGCTGTGAAACGCATATGGAGAAATTCAAACACTTCACTTCTATCTGAAGTTTGTGCTGATGATATCGTTCAGAGGAACGATGAAAGCTCCACGACTAAACCATCCAGCTCAGAGAACAAAACTCCATCAAAATCATCCACCTGAGTTATAAATCTTTTCCAATATATCAGAATCCCTTTATAATTGAACCTTCATTTTAGTTTTCTGAATGAGAAATCTAATTGAGAACCAAGATGAATTCCCTCGGTGTTGTTTTACTTGTATCTTCCCATTGTTATTTAGGACTGCAACTGATCAGTCTCATGTTAGCATATGTGCATCTTGTGCGATATATATAGCCTTAAGTCACAAGTTTTTTTAAAGCAAAGATGGATAGTGGCTAGCAATGGAATCTAGGACACGCGTTTTTATCCTATTTGGGACTCGTCAGCTGTTTTCACTTCATAGAAGCTCTGGATAAGTGGTGTAAGTCAGTGCCCTCAGGGTTACTTAACAATACCGCGAATTATAGAAAATGCTTATGTAGCAACGTTTAGACTTCGACTAAGTATGTCAAGTAATAAATAATCAGAACAAAAGTGAATTACTACGTTTTTACGCAAGTGACATTTTCTTAACTGTAACCAATGTACAAAAGGAGAATATGATAGTTTGTTTGACACTGTAATGGTGATTTAACGTTGATTAATGTTTCGCTTTAATACTGTTTGTAAATATTCCTTATCTTCCTCACTCCTTTAATTGTTTTACTTTTTACTAGACACTTTAGCAATTTAGATTTAAGCAACAGCTTCCAATAACCGAAAACATTTCTTTCCAAAGTTTTCAAAACATCGAATATCATATTTTTGAGAAGAGAATCACTGTGGTATCTTATTGACGGGTTATTTTGTTTGTTTTAATGACTGAAAACTTGCATATTTTTAAGTCATAGTTGACTTATTGTCCTGTAATAATTAGATGGAATCTACAAGAGAAGATTTGGTACTTAATTTGTCGTTTTATCTAATTGCTGAAGGTTCTGGAAAAAAAACTCCCCTCAAATAGACAAATGAATTTTAATTCCAGTAAAATAAACTGTTTGTTAAAACAATCTAAGAAACTTAATTAATGTTGAGGATTGGTAAAATACATTTCATATTGTATACCAGCTTAGTCATCTTAAAGTCCATTTTCAAAACGTAGAACCTGTACTTACGTACACTGGTTCAAGTTGCCATACCCCATGAGCTTACCGAGATGAAATTGTCAGGCCAATACCAGAATACTAGAGGTAGTAGTAAGGTTTAGGTATCGAAGATACGACTCCGGAAAGAATATAAATTAGCCAAAAAGATTATGAGGAATTCAGAATTCGGGAGAAAACAAAGAATGGACGCATCTGTAGAATTGCAAATGACTTTAAGCCATATCATTCAAAGTCCCTAACCATTGGTTACGAAAGTCATGAGGCAAACAACCAGGTAGTTTGAGCCTATTAACATGGATAAGTCCACTTGTCAATGACTTCATGAACTATCACGTTTTGCTTGGCCGCCCTTATCATTCTTCCAGCCCACTCTTGCACCACATAACATCATCCTTTGAGGTAGATATTGGTTGGGCATACGTAACACATGTCCCTACCACCTCGGCTGATGCAGATTTACTGCATCAATCGATTCCGATCTTTACTCTATTCCTAGCCCAGACATTATTTACTCTGTGATTCGGAAATACACGAGCAATGTTCCTTAGACACGTACGAAAATGTTCATAGTAATAGAATTGAATAATTGTCAAAGCTCAAGAAAATACCAACCCTCGGCATTTAAATTTCAATATGTTTGCTGTTATTAACTAATGAGTACTGTACATAGGGTCCACACTTAAAACGCGACAACTAACGATACTACTCCGTTGTTCGAACTCAAAGAAGTAACAAGATTACTAGCTGTGACTGTTAAGTGTGTTAACTAACTAGTTAGTGTTCCATATAGCAATAAACACAACTTTGTTGTATCAAGGTGCGCTTCCAACTGTCAAACAGAAAACTTCCTTCTACTGAATTTTAATCAGTCATTAGTTATGTTATTGTTGAACATGAGATTCAACTATTATCACTACTCTCCATCCGAATTTTCATTAATAATTATCCAGATAAACCGGTTCTACGGGAAATTGGATAATAAATTTGTGCACAGCGCAGTCTTAGACAATTCATCAAGTCACCCTTAGTCTTTATGTTCAGTAGCAATAAATTCAATACCCTATCTCATCATGATTTCAAAAATCTCTTGAAATTAGCTGCTTCTGATTCTTATTTTTATCAAGTGGATTATTTTGGGCATCTCTTTCTAATATGTTATTTTTTTCATCACATTTCGAATGTTCCGTGACTTCGGTAGCAGTCGATGTCTGTTTGAACTGTGTAGATAGCTGCAGATCATTCGGTTTGGGTCTTCGCGATTTCCGTTACTAGTGGTTGGAGAATTTGGATGACATAGATCAAAATCGGTCATAATGAGGTACGTGAATTTACTCTTATTCTTCCCTTGGAGCATGAGTTTTAAAACTATCTGATTCTTTGTATTCTCTAAACTCATTGTTTTTTCTCTAATCACAATATCATTAGGTAATCTTTTTCATAATCACTCATACTGTTTCTTCTTCTACTACTTTACGACTTATGTTTGATAATCTATCTCATTTTGCTAATACGTTATGACCACAACCACAACCCTATACTGATAATTACCATGCGCTCGCTAGTGACTAGCTTCATGAGGGAATTCTCGGAGTTCTAGTGAGAAGCCTTGACCAGTGGAGCTAATCTGTGTAGGGTAAAGACAGGTATCTACCTCAGTAAAATGGAAGGTGGTCGCGCGATTTCGTGGATTGTTTGAGGTTAAACAATAACACCATTGGATGCCGCCTCAATGGTCTAGTAGGTTAAGTGTTCGCGTGCGAGACTGAAGGCCCTGGGTTCGTATCCCGCGAGGTGGGATCGTGGGTGCACACTGCTGAGTTTCACAATGGGAAGAAACGGCTGTCCATTGCTTCCAGGTTTTTAATAGTGGTCTAACATCAAACGGTTGACGATATCAATCAAAAACGTAATAGACTCAACAACTCTATACGGATATTTGCTATTTTATTATAGATTACTATGCGTAAAAATAATTCTTAAATATGATTCTATAGCTTTAGTAAATGATATCGTCGAAAAGCAATTTTTTCCGCCGAACTGTTTTTTATTTAATGAATGATGCGGTGGGCTTATTTCTAATTCAACTCGTTAAGTATCTAGAAAACACTAATAAAAACGAGAACACGGATTAGTAGACTATGTCAATTAATTGTCTTGTAAGTGAATGAAAACTATACTAGCCACACAATAGTAAATACACATATTACTCCTTTTTACAACTGATAGATTAGTAAACACGACCAGACCATTCAGATCAGAGAACAAAACTCCATCAAATATAGTAGATACTGTCATATTGATAAAGTCATTTAGTGCTAACTAAATTCTAACGATTAAGTCGTAATGTGGCCACTAGTCAAAGGAACTCGACATCGCATGTACCATGTTGAGATGTGAAGTGGTGGTTGAAGGTGATTGACAGGAAACCCTGGACCTAGGTCCCGATCAGCTCTAAGAAGGACTTAACATACATGACATCTATCATTATCTAGTGATCAATCAACTATAAACACATTTCAGTCCTACAGAATGTCGGTTGCGGCATGAATAGACCAGTGGTAACGTGTCACACTGTGAAGCTAGATGATATGAGATCGAATCCGTCAGATAGCATCGGTTCTCTTAAGGTTACAAGTACACCTTGTTAACGAGTGTTAGGTATGCAGAGGAAAAATATACCAATAATTATCGTGTTAAGTCTATGATGGCCTTGAACCTTAAATGTACATTTCCTATTGGTCGATGTTTGTTTCACTTGTTAAATATTGTTTTCTATTTTATGGTACGATGTGGTTTGTTTGGTTAGTATATAAATAGAGTATGTCCGAAATACAATGATTCATAACTCAGAGGCTGTGACTTGTGTTCTTGACTCAACTGGCTAGGACAGACAGCGAAGCAGGGCCAATCGGGGCACTAGGTCGTCCATTACGTGTCCACTGTAACCGATCGGTAAAACGCTGCTCATCATAACCTGCAGTCACCCGTTACAACAACGAGTGATAAAAAAAAGTACAAAACCTAGGTTCGCAGTTTCCAATGAACTACTCTCCAACTACCAAATACCAGAACACTTTCTTAATGTAAGAGAAACAAATGTAAATGCCTGTATTATTCAAACGTAAATAAATAATCACAATAATAAGAAATCAACATATAATCAGAGAATAATTCGAAGTTATTAAAGAAACCGAAAAGAAAAAAATAAAGTAGACACAGAGAGAGAAAATAAACTTGAAAATACAAACACCTTTTTATGGTTTATAATTATGCTGAATTTTTTCCAAAAGTTTCGATTTCCATAATTCTTCTGGTATTTGTGTAGCCCATGTAGGATATTGAGAGATGGGTAAATGAAAATTAGACATGTACATTTTAATTTTATCAGCTTCGTCTAGAAAATAGTTTTTTTTTAAAAAAACAAACAAAAAAAGAAAGAAAGAACAACTTATATTACAAATGAAATATACCGTAGGTAGGATGTAATATTATTAATGTGGAACATATTGATACAAGTAAGGAAGGAATATAAGTATATACTTACCTCTTTTAAAAAAACAAACAATAAAAAAAGGTTTTGATGATAATATATTTACTATTAGAATATAATAAAAACTAATAAGGATAGTAGTGTTTTGTGACTTTGTCTATATTGCACTATACCATAAACTTTAGAGTTATATCCTCAGAAAACGTAACTCGAAGCGATAGTATACTTATGTCACCTATGGTGAAGGCGAGATATCCGTCTATGAATCAAAAGACGAGTATAGTGCGCAGCAGTTCGTTCTGTTCTACTGTATGGCTGCGAAACGTGGCCATTAAGGATAGAGGATACGCGTAAGTTACTAGTATTTGGTCACAGATGTATTAGAAATATTGCCCGCATTTGCTGGGATAACTGAGTAAGTAATAGTGAAGTTAGACGCAGGGTATTAGGGAATGGTGGTAAATCAATTGATGAGATTGTGAATCTTTATCGACAACGATGGTTGGATCACATACTAAGCATTCGCAATCACCGATAACCATAGTGCGCAATGCTAATTAGTGCCGGAGACGGATGGAAGAAAGTTAGGGGAGGCCAAACCAAGACGTGGCATCAGTCCATAAAGCCACGAACTTCTGGTCTAAGCCATGTTGGTAGATGCAGACTACTTGGTATGGGATCTGCGCTACTATCTTAACCCATGGTTAGAGACTCTGGGTAACATGGCTCAGGACCGATCACAATAGCGTAGGTGTATATACACTCTTTATCTTCCTTTAAACAGTGAGGTTAAAAATTATCTTAGTTAATGACAAAACAGTTGTTAGTTTATAAGACCAGTATATGTAAGTAGTAACTATAAATAGGATTGTATAGCTCTAGTAGACGACATTGTGAAAAAGAAGCCTTTTCACTTGAAAGCCTTTTTTTGATGATTCAATGGGTTTCTTTCATTACTTACGGATTGATTAGGACTCGGACAGAGTTAAATAATTCAGTGGGTTTCTGTGATACTCCGTCAAACTTGTAATAGTGAATTCGAGAATAAACTTTTCGAAAGGCTATGTGAACGTCTGAAACAGTCCTGTAAAACTCTGCGTTGAAATTATATGTATTCGAACAATCATTCTGTTAAATATACTACACTGAACTACATAGAGATGGAGTTGAAGTTGCCGGAAACTGAACGTAATGTTACACTGAGAGCATATCCATTATCAGATTTATCAAATGAATACAGATAATTCAAAGTATATGTCTATACCATTGCAAAGACATGTTCTGAGGATATGACTCTGAAAAGTATAGAACAGACAGAGTCGAAAATCCTATTTCTAGAGATTAGGATTCAAATGTTTTAGTACACACCTCGAAATGCAAACACTGTTACTTAATCGAAAATTCTGCAACGACTCTACTAAAATAGATGAAATCCATGCGAAAATATAATTTTTAAAAGAAAGGTTTGTATTTCTTAACGGAGACCGTTGTAAAATGAATGATTAAACTATTTGAATTCCAATCAACAAATTGAAGATATAAACCTTCTTTTATCTGCTTTGATTGAACTAGTTTAATAGCAGGATCATTAGAGATTACTCAAAAAAAACTTGGTTCGAAATTAAGTGTACACAAACCCGTACTTCATAAATGACTTAAATTAACATTATTTTATTAAAAATGAAAAACAAATTCAGTTGTAGAGGTTATTTCTAATACAAAAAAGATTAGGAGTGGAACATCAATATTGGATTGTCTTATATAATCGTAGTTTGACCAGGAAAGGAAAGAGCGATTTAATTACCAAAGAAATGTCAGAGTTGATACGATGATTCACTAAGAAAATTATTCACTCAGATAAAAGTAGCTTAGGAATGATATAAACTTCCCATAAATTTGGTTATGTATCGTAACTCACAGCGATCATCTCGAACAGACTTTAAAAATGAACCAAAAAATAAAAACAAACAAGTAATCTAAGTGTAACTCTATAGCAGGTTCTATTCGTGACAGGTTGAGATCCGTTGGAGTTGCTCCACTTGTGATTGATTTCAAGACGTTCCTGAAGCTATTGTGAGAATTTGAGACCAGCGGAGGTCAGGCATGTAGGGACTAAAAGAATTATCACCAATAACACTGAATAAACGTTGCGATATATCACAGGCTGACTGAAGCTGGAAATGTACCATTGGACACTAAATAAATGATTCTAATAGCTAAGTATTTGTCATGAGACACAAAGGTTCTGAGTTCTATCCCTGGTTTGGTCGTGAGTGCTCACAGTTTAGTGTTTTCTAAGTTCTCAATGGTACCGCCCACCACTGAAACCATCCAATGACGAATACAGTCTATAAATTGTCGATTGCTTAAGGTGAAGTCACTTTCAAGAACGAATAAACAATATCATTTGAACGTATCACTAAAAACATAACAACAATACAAATTCAAATCTTAATTTCAACACCGCCTATAATCATCAGTATGAGACTGTTGTACAAGTATCAAACTAATAATGACACAATTATCTTAGAAGTATGTTCTGATTTTCAATGATTCTCTACATTTGATACCAGTTCATGATAAAAATAATGATAATGATTTAATAAAACATGATTCGTAAAAACCTAAATTACTGACAAGATATAAGTACCACATGAAACATTCCATTACATAGTTGTAGAAATATTAGGAATAACAGGAAGATATGGTACGTTCAACAGTTATCCATAAATCAAAACATTACAAAATCATTAATTATTCCTTATATAGAAATAAAACTTTATTAATCTCAATAACATAAGTCTGTAAGAAAAGGTTAGGTATTTGTGTTACAAATTCAGTTTAAGTTAATTAACTCAGAATTATAGATACGTAAACATATGTATTTATGTGAGTAATAAGAGATATCAACTCATAATTATTCGTAGTCATTCAGTCATAAGCAACGTTGAATCTAGGCATAGATGTTCACCGAGTCAAGTTGACATAATTCACATCAGTACGGTTAGGTATAGTCATCAAGACAATTGCCATTATGATAGTACATATAAGGTATAGATAATGATTCGAGAACAAAAAGTAAATATACAGAATAAAAAGTATCATTATTTTAGAATAAAGAGTGAATGTATCTGAACCACTGATAACATCTAACACATGATAAGTACTAAAACCCCAACCGAGTAGTTTGCACCTACCTATATGGTTCAGTCCGACAGTCAATCACTTCATGGATTTAAGTTGAATCTCGTATTGACTGCCTCTAACTTTCTTCTAACCTACTCCTCTACATTGACTATCATCGCGCGTCAAGGTAACCGGGGATTGAAGATACTCAACACATGTTCTGACCACCTCAGCTGTTAATGATTTGTAATTATTCTACGACTGCAAATCTGATCGTCAAGTTATTAAACCACATAACTAATTTACTTTCATTATCACACACAACAATCATATTCAGACATTATTGGCATGATGATAAACTTAGTAAATAAGAGCGGAAAACTAATAAAAAATGAGATAGGAGAGACAAACAGGGAAGAAGAGGATGGAATATAAAAGAAAACAGAATGACGAAAATTGAATAATACTGATCACATTTATAACTTACCAGGAGTAATTGTAATTTGAGATGTGGATGCCGGTGTGTTCTGATTCCATAATTCTATATGAGATGAATCATCAATCGTATTAGTACACAAATTAGAAGCCTAAATATATACAGATATCGGAAAAATGAAGCAAAATAGAAACGTATTGTACAATTCAACTTTTAACTCACGAAGATATACTGAACTGTATGTTTATCAAGAAATTGAATGATTAGACAGTCTATTCGTATTATATACTGTCAACAAATAGAGTAACATGGAAAGCCAAAAAGCAATGAACCAGTCAATTAATGATCTTTAATTTAATCAACTGCATATTGTTAATCCGACCGGGGATCATAATCTTACGATCCATCCGGGATGAAATGATAAACAAGTTTTGGGAAGAAATTTGAGTGCTAACTATTATATTGATTAACTATTCCAATGAAATCAGAAAACATAAATTTGATTTTTTGCAGTCATCTAAGTTCTGTTACTGATACATATAAGCTTCTTATAAGAGTGCCTAAACCAGTTAATCGAGTGAAAACAACCAAAAATGGTTAACCGTATTGACAATATATGCATAAATCATTTATAACTATAAATACATGTCCCTCAGAGAATGAAGCCACATTTTAAACCAATAGCGTATGTCTGCTTTCTTAGGAAGTAAGTCCATAATCTTCACTAATACCATGTTATCATTAGCATCCTTTTTTTATCACTTCATCTACGTCTGATTGCCCCAGAGTATCAATAAATCATTATATTTTAATTTCAGTGGTCGAATTTCTCAACTCATTTATGCTGTGAATGGTTACCGAATTGAAATGTAGTTTTATGCATATTAGTTAGTAATATTAGCTGAAATACGATACAGAGTAGTTTAGAATATTTTTGTCTACTGTATTATTTATTATTAGTAACATGATAATCAAACGTCCAAGTAAGAGAGGGTTTTGTGGATATTATAGTAATTTAATTATTGAATTCATAAGTCAATCGAAGCTAGACCACCATGGAAAAGGTGGAAGCACTGAACGGGACTGATAGGTCCCGGGTTCGAATCTCGCGAGGCGAGATCGTGGATGCGCATTGCTGAACAGTCCCATACTAGGACGAAAGTCTTCCAGTGCTTCTACGATTTCCATGGTGGTCTAGCTTCAATTGACTCATGAATTCAACTATTAAAAGTTCAAGTGAGAATTCATCAATTAAAATAATTCGTGGGCTTTGTGAATTTTGATTGATTACTAATAATTACGGAGAATGTCTAATCAACATTTATGATAAGTTGGAGCGTATCTGTTACTGTTCAATTCAATAAACAATAATAATGAGCGAGATTTTCAGATGGTTAGTCAATGTGAAAAGGGAACAGTGAACTCTCATTAATGAATGAAACGCATTAGAATGTAATCTATTAGTTGATAAGTATTGTTATAAATATTTCGTTTTTTGTCGTCATATTGATTCATGTAACCTGTTAACTATGATGATTTAAACAAAACAAATGAACTTTTACGGGAAATCCTCTTTCATAATTTGATTCTAGTATTCCCACTGGAACTACTATTAAGATCCTCTTTTCTGCCACATACATAAACAACACAAAAGCCTTAAAAATTTTCATCTTATTTTTCTCATTAGCCAATTAATGTTCACTCACATTTTGGGTTTCTATCAAGTTTATAATCTTTGAATTGGATAATAAGTACATGATGCAGAGTTTCATATCGGTGAACGAAGCCATACAATTAAGTATAGATAGTTGTTAGAATCAATTAAAGAAAGTATTTATAATGAGACTTATAAGCTGCTTCGGTTCGGGCGCCTAGGTAGTATTCCAGTCCTCACACAAATCGAAGGATATATCTAGTGATTCCTTGTATTGATGTTTATGTGTTTAAATAAATAGACTGGTTAGTTAGGCAAAATTTATCACTTGGAAAATAGGCCAACTATTTTTACACTTTTTTAAAAATTTAAAACGTTTTACTAGCAACAAAAATATTCCCATATTGGTGAAAATTGTCATTCAGACATTTAGTAGCCAAAATAAAAAGACGAATAGACTGAATAGTTTTCCATCATGACTCTACACTAATACAAATATTTAACAATAACAATAATAAAATATGCTAGTCATCTAGTGGGTGATGTATTAGATAATAACACAAATTTAAGTGTTTATCACAATAATTTTGAATGTTTTAATTAAACAACTAGAAAATGGAAAGTATAACGTGATGAATGTTTAAGGATATTAAACGTAGTTTATAATACAAATTCTGAATGTGGATTACGATGTTTTCGACGGCGTAGATGTTAGTCAGTCAGTAACAACGTAGAACTTCGTACGTACGTACGTACATCAGTTCGAGTTATCATACCATATTAGCACACAGATACAATTGTCGATTCAAATCCCATAGTGGTAGAAGTAGTAAGAGTATTGGTAGTAATCGGAAACATTAGTTTGAAGATGTTATTCAAGGAGTATAATCCAGTGAAATAAATTTGGAAAGAGGAAAAAAGGGACATGAAGAATTCAGAAGATTAGAATTTGGGAGAACACAAAGAGTGGATGCACCTGCGCCATCGCAAAAGATTTCAAGCCATGTCATTCAAGGTCTCTCACCATCGGTTGCCATCGTCTCGCCGATCCCAACCAGGTAGTCTACACCTACCAACATGACTCAGACCACTTGTCAGTGACTTCATGCACTTGTGCCATGTTTTGGTCTGGTCGCCCCTAGCTTCCTTCCAACCTACTCTTATGCCATTGAACATCGCACGTCGAGGTAGTCGCTCGTTGGGCATACGTAACACGTGTCCCAGCCATCTCAACTGATGAAGTTTCACTGCGTCATCAATTGATTTGCCATCCTTACCTAGTACCCGTTTCCTAACAACTGTATCACTTACTCGGTGGTCCCACGATATACGAGCAATCTTTCGAAGGCACCTATGATCGAATACTAGTAACCTACGATGTAGATGACCGGCATATTTTATTACTGTTAGTATTAGTGTAGATTCATGATGAAAAACTAATTGAAAAGAAATATTCCTTCGGTATAGTCACTTTAAAAAAACAACTATTGTAGACGTTATCAAGGCTGACTCTAAACTTTGAGAGTGATGAAAGGAGCAGACATCGACAAACGGGTGATGGACAAGGAGGTAACAATGTTACTTAGGGAGAAGGAAAGACTGAGGGTGAACGTATTCAGAGCCCTAACCTGAAGAGATGATGATAAGGATTGGGTGGAGGTAATCATGAAGGTCTTGCGGCATAAGATGGTTCATGAGTATCACCAGGTATCGCAAAAACAACGGACTTATTACGACAAGGTACGTACTGGCCAGGTATGAGAGACGACGTTGCACAATATGTGTTAACATGCTAGCAATACCAACGAATAAAAAGTGATCGATACATACAATCACCAGTACAGTCAGTCTCAGTAGCCGCAGTTGGTGATCTATAGTCAGTGGATGTAATGGGACCGTTTCCACAAACGGCGAGCGGTAACCAGTACCTGCCAGTAATGACAAAACATGCTACACGCTGAGCAGATGTATAGTGTATTTAAATGTAACGCAACTCATTAAAAAGTACACATCAATCTACTCTGGCCTAATGTTCACTTTTTAAGTGAAGAACACCGATACTAGTCAAGTTTCTGAAATGAAGGTTGGATTACATTTTTAAAATTAAATACATAAAATCTAAGTGTTTAGGATCTTAAGCTATGGCTTGACTTCTGTTAAATATTAGAGAGAATATATCTCAAAATAAACGATCATTTTTGTAATAAGAGTGGAGTAAGCATAACAATTTTGCTAAGGTAAGGGTTACTGAAAATTATTCCTTCTATATCCTATTAATATACACTATATCACAAAGGCTTACTGTAAATGCTCCCCGTGGTTCAAATTCAGTTCGACTCAAGTGTCGATTCAGAAGATTATCTACATCAACTTGTAAATTGACTGGATCACTATTATGATCATTATTATTATTATCATTATTAAATCCAATTGATTGAGAATTTGATAAATGCTGACTGATTACATTGTTATTTTCAATTTCATCATTTTCACTATCTGACAAATCATTTATCTCACTATCATTATTATCATCAATGTTATCATCTGCCATATGTACAATTTCACTACCTAGTAAAGCATAACCAACAGGTATAACTGTTGAATCTATGATATCTTCATTATTTTCTATGCCTAGAAAAAGAAATTATTTTAAATTATAATTTTACCATTTATATAATTAACATTATGATTATCACCAATTTCATCATTTGGATTTGGAGAAGATGGTTCACTAAATTTTTTCATTACCATAATTGTATATACACAATTCAATTGGTACTTTTATAAGTAGTTACATACATGTATACAAATATCAACTGTAAAAAGAAAATAAAAACAAAACTCTATGAATTAACATTAAGCACAACATTGAACAACAACTTAATTTATAATAGATTTTCGATTGCCTCGTTGTTAATAATCCAACAACAAAACAACACATGACAAATTGAATTAAAATTCATATTCACTGCACAATTGAGTGACTATTTGAAATTAGTAAGTGGATAAACCTCTGGGCATTTAAAACGAAAGTTAGTGGGTTCGAATCCCAGAGGTTCATATATATTTATTTATTCAAACACAAACATTGGTAGAAAGAGGCATTCAAATAGATATGCGTCACAAAAACCATCGAATTAATGTGAGAGCTGGGGTACTCAACGCGTGTTAGGACTGGACCAAGTGGTTTCCTTAGGTGGCCACTTCCCGAGCATTTGACCCATAGGTCTAATCCACTAGGCGGTGGAGCAACGTTAGGAGATCTAGTCTCATGATAGCCGATAACCAAAATTAGGTCCATACGCCAGAACCCTGGAGCCGATATGCACCATCAATTTGGAATCGGGGTTTTCCACACCCCAAGGTGGATCCTTTGTAGCTACCAACCCGGTTTAAGCACCAGCTATTTCATTTTCGTCCTCTCAATTTTGTAAACTGTTGGAGATGCTAAGTCCCCAGAAACCACTTGGTAAAAGTCACATTTTTGTAGTTTTATTTTGGAAATTTAAATTTCTCATATTCGTACCAAAAGCGCCCGCTTTTACCTTCAGATTGAAAGGACCTTAAATGACACTGATTCGTTGCATAAGCAACACCCTTGCCGAAAGAAGGCAATGAGTAGGACTTCCCTGGTAGTGACTATATACACGTGAACATATGAGAGAAATTCGAGAGGGAGAGAGGACTCTCCCCACCCACGATCATACCAGGGCATTTGGGGGCTGCCGAAAATGCAGATAAACCCAGTTGATGATGTTCAACTAGGAAAAAACACGCGTCTAGGACTCCATTTATAGTTACATTTCATCTATTCTATATTTTTTAAAAAAAACAATAACAGAAACAAATACACAAAAGCGACAACGATGCATAAACACAACCGTACGAACATTAAGAGAACAAAAATTACAGTGATAAAATACTTCTATTTCATAAAATTCGCTAACATAAAAAAGAACTGTAAGAGTAGTAACAGTAGTGTGTTAATTAACCATCAAAGACTAAAAACAAATCGAAATGATCATTAACAAGAAGTTATATCTGTATAGATATATAAGTTTTAATCTGACGGATTATTATCGGAGAACTGATAATTATTCCATATTTCATAAAATAACGGACGACAATTAACTACAGCTTTCAATTTACTACATAACAAAAAACAACCAGACATTTTTCTATGTAATGAATAACTTTCTTCTGGTGGTGGACTTAATCTATGCTCAAGCATAACAGGAATTAAATGACTGATACGTTTAGTTGTTGACTGTTGACTAAAATCGAAATTTTCTTCTGAAGCAAATGCTTCACCCAATATACTGACTGCATTCACATGAGCTTGTTGTAAAACCTGTTGATTAAAAGTAGATGAGAATAATAAAATAAGAATGAGTGTATTCAACATGATATCTTACATAGATTTCCAGTAGAATATTATATAAAAAATTACTCAATTTAAAATCAGTTAATAAATGAAATGAGGGTCAACCATTCACAATTAATAAGTCAGGATCATTGAGAACAATTTACAAATATATCAGATAAGATCTTCAATCATTGTTTATGATTATCACGCGAATCCCCCCAGTAGGAAATTAATACCTTTCAACATGATTCGGTCGGACACAGTCATTGGTTTGATTGATTAACCTCACTTCATGGTTTAGCTGCCAACTAAATGCTTTTCAAACTACTCATATGATAGCCTGAATTGTATGTCAGTGTAGGCAATGGTTAGACGTATTTAGATCCTCCAAATCGACAGCTCACAGTCTCATCAATGGGTTTATCATCTCTTTCTAGAACCTTACGTTTAATCTTAACACCGTGCAATTTGTCGTTTCAGTTGAGTCGTGGAGACACTTATAGTCAAATACTAATAACCTACACAGATCTATCATCAAAGATAAAGTTCCAAAGCCATTAATTAATATATAAATGAATTTCTGTACAGTTCAAATACTCTCTAATTGGTAGACGGACAGGCACAAAACATCAAGTGAGCTTGATATCAACTCACCCAGAATACCGAAAACACGAACATAAAGACAAGGTATATGCATATAGAAAGGCTAGAAGAAAAAAATCCCAATCAATGAAGAGTTAATTTTCTGCCTTCTAATGTTTACCCTACTATATTTCCTTATGAGATGAAATAAAATTACATTGATTAGACATTGGTTTATATTTTGAGTTAGATTTAACAATGTCAGGTACAAAATTATACAAACAGTCAGACTGAATATAGGGCTACCGTAAATAAATACGAAATTATTAATTAAACAATATAAATTAGCTATTGAGTTTACAAGCTACAATTGAATGTATCACGGTAAAACGACCGCTTAAACAACATTTGTTGGATTTTAGCTGATGATGTACCAGATGTGTTTAGAAATCCACAACAGAACACCGAATTGTACTTCGAAGTTGAATCACGTGAAGAAATGTAAGTTTGTGCAGTGCACACATTGGGGAGGAGATGCTAGACAATTCAGTTTGAAATATGTTAGGGTATCACAGATACATTTATTCTCTGATGTCCCTTTAAGCCCTAAGTACCAATTTATGGCAAGCCTGTTCTTGATAAATTATTCTCCCTTTAATGTTTAAGAATATTGCTACTTTGCACAGATAAGTCAATTAGACAGAAGGAAGATGGAATCTGCCAGATATCTTCATTGGTTCAAGTCACCACATCATATCAGCATAGTCAAGTGAACTTATCAAGATGAATACCAAAAGTAATAATATATCAGTGGTAGTAAAAAAGACTCAACATAAATAATGCATGATCTAGAATATATCAGGTAAAAGAGAACAACCAGAAGACATCGTAGAGAAACATATAATTATCCTGACTGATTGTAAGAAATTTGAACATCATCCAAATGCTCCACTTCTAAAAGATTTTCAGTCATTTAAATGATTGTATATCATACAAAAAGAAGAATTACTCCCTTCAAAAGTGAGAAATACAAACTGTTGGTAAAATATCACTGTCAAAAGATCAAATAAACTGCTGACATCTAAATGATATGTTTGTGTACGGCCGAGAGTGGGGAGTCCGCTCTCCCTCTCGAAATGCTCTCACATGACCACGCGTATATAGCCTCTGCCAGGGAAGTCCTACTCACTGCCTTCTCGTACCAGGGGTGTTGTTCACGAAATTGAGAGGACGAAAAGCGAATGCCCGGCGCTTTAACCGGATCCCAAACTAACAGTGCATATGGGCTTCAGTATCCTAAAGGAACAAATGGCGTATCAACCAATCGTTGGTCACCGGCTTCCATGGGACTGCATCTCCTTACGATGCTCCACTGCCTTGTGGATTAGACCTTCAGGTCGAAGGCTCGGGGAGTGGCCCCCTAAGAAAACCAACTGCTTCGGTTTGGGCACCCGGGCAGTATCACAGCCCTCACACATATCGAATGAGATTTGTGTGGCGCATATGTATTTGGTGCCTCCTTGTACGAATATCGATGTGTTAAAATAAATAAATAAATAGAAAAAAACATTTTGAAATATATAATTGGAAAAATAACAGTAAAAACAAACTATAAAATTACTTTTGTTTCGTAACCAGTCAAAAAGCCTAAGTCTTTCGATAGTTTAAGTATAGTTTCTTCATCATGTTCCGCTGAAGCATGAATTAGACGAATATATGTGTCGACAAAGGATTTATCGTATTCTCTAGAAGCTCCAAAATCCAATAAAACAATCTACAGAACAAATATTTGAAAATAATAGTGATAATTCAAGACGAAAAATCATACATGACATGAATAAATGAATTTTCGAAAGCCTTAGTACAACTTCAGAAGAAAATCAAGATGAAAAATTGCAAGTAAGTGATTTATAAACTGAACTTCTAGCCACGATTTCGCATTTACTTTATCACCTGGCCGAGACTGACACCTTGACATGATGGTCCGGATTTCTTATCATGATGACCCAATTCAAATGTGTTAGCTGAAAGACGTGTTCCTCTAAATCCTACAATAACAGGTAGGTTGGTTAAAAAGTAATAAGACCAATAGCAGCAAATTAAGGTCTGATAGTGAAGTCCTACTTCTGACTTAACAGTAGTGCAACGGCTCCTTCAACAACGGACAGAGGGACTCAGAAAAGGTCGGGCCTAAAATCGCCTTACCTTGTTTTGCTCCACGGGTTTCAGTCACCAGCGGTAAGAATTCATATGTACGGCGCTAACTCATTTAAGACTACTCGAGAAAGATTATGTGTGACTGGCTCTATGTAGTTGTCTCTTGGGCTCTGTACTCATCCTTCCACTTCGTTCGTTACATTATTAATCCAGTTTACTTTAAAGGTCCTACCAAAAGAAGCATAAACCCACGGGGTAGGTGACGAGGAAGTAATCGTGCTCGAGATTATTTTTCCTACAGTTACATTCTCCCTTTACTTCCTAAACATTTTTCTGTCGCTGCTATCAATCCTTCGCCTCTATTTTCAACTTTTCCACGCGTGTCGCTAGTACTAATGGCTCGAGTTTACGAACTGTTATCCACTACATATATCTCAACTTTCGACAGTTGAATAGTATCATTATGGCCACGAATAGTTAACGTAGTGCCTGAGACCTAACGTACAACCATTTAATTATACGAATAAAATCCATCAGAAAACTCGTTACAATCTTAGTATATGTTGGTTTAATCTAAAGAACAAATAAGCATAAACATGTAATATCACCAGAATCAAGGATAGATTGTTTATATCTGTAATGAAATCATGCCGATAGTTACCTATCAACTATCTATTGGATGACTTTATTAGAAACGCAGATAAGTCACAAT